AGTCTGCCGACTATTGGGCCTGGACAGCGGCCCACACACGTTTAATGGATTCTTATTATTGTACATTATTATTATTACTACTACTACTGCTACTGCTACTGCTGCTGCTGCTGCCGCCGCCGCCGTCGCCGCCGGCATTAGAGAATTAATCGGGAGGACTCGAGACACATTTGAAAGTTTTTGAGAAGCATTGAAGGCTCACGATTCATTAAAGGAGTGATTTTGAAGTCAAGAGAGCTCAATGATCAATCACGAGATCAAACAGGAACGAATAAAGCTTAAAAACGGCGATCAGGATAACGTTCTGTTAATCGTTCAAGCATATCTTTTTGTAGAAACATTCAAAGTACACGATTCAAGTTTCATATGAAAGATAACTTAAAGAGATACAATTCATAAACGAAATTTTGAGTACTTTTTCGCAGTGTTATTCAAGACCCTATGATTATTCGTAAGTTCCGTCTTTTTAATTAATGACAATTATTTCTTTTCATTCCAATTCTATTGTTAATTCAATTATGAATTATATTGTGAGTAGTTTTAATTAGGGATTTGGGATTGATGAAAGGATTAATTATGATCTAAGGTTAATTTCTTGATGATTTAATTGCATGATCTTTAGTTAATTTGTGTTTGAATAATTTAATTGATATCTTTTGTAACCTGGAACGTCCGCTAGGATTATATAATTGCACATAGAGTAATTTAAGAGAGATCTAATTTATTCTAGGAGACTTTCACACACACACTTAATCATTTGCTAAGAGATTAGTAATGGTTAGGGAATCGTACACTCGCTCATTTTGGCAATAGTTTAGGAGCTTGTGGAATGAGAGATCAGACTGGTTGCCTAAATTATTGTACTCTACGCCGCGAGACCGGTAAGAACTTAGTATTGATTAGCGTTGCTCAATTAAATGATTTTCATGTAATTCAGCCTGATTAGCCCCGAAATCTGATTACCCCGGAATTAATCCTTGTTCCCTTTCATCATTAATTAGAAAGAGCCTTTTAGATTAATTTCCTTTTCGCATTATTTTAATTTCCTAAAAATCCAAATCCCGCACAATTGCACTTTTTTTATCGCTGAATTTATTTAATTTCTGATTCCCTTTTTTCGTCCCTGTGGAGACGATGCTCATACTTAAACCTTTACTACTACATTTTTAGTGCGAGAAAACTCACATCATTGACATATACGGTTAATTCTAAAAAAACGTATATAGACAAGTAAAACTATACACGCTAATCAAAGAGCGATAGTGTACAACTGAGTATTTTATGTTAAAAATGAGTATAACATTTAAAAGAAATGTGTATTAATATTAAATCATTGTATTGATCACACAATTGAGTATTAGAAACATGTAATTAAATATCATGATCTACACGTAATATATATGGTACAAATAAACTTATTCATTTAATTATGTTATCATTGTTATAATCAAAATATTTATTGCATGTTTTTAATTTTGTAATTCAATACCAGTACTTCTAGTGCTCTTTTTTTTATACTTTTATGTAGTTGAAAGAGTCAATTGAGTACATCTATTTCTATGAGGTGAAGTAAAAAATATATTGTATTTGACATTTCCAAGTACATGAACTCAGTTTTATAGGGTTAATTGAATATATACTTGTTAGATTAACACGTTTATATGATTCAGTTGGCTAACAAAATGCTGAAGGGGTAGTCAACCAAGGAGAAGTTGACCACGGTTCTGACGTCGACTTTCAAGAAGTCGATCAGAAAGGAAAAAATCAACCTTCAGAGGTCCCTACGTGGTTCGTTGACCTACAAGGTGCATCGACCAAGGGGAAGTCGATATGCGGGGGACTGACGTCAACCAAGGGGAAGTCGATATGCGGGGGACTGACGTCAACCAAGGGGAAGTCGATATGCGGGGGACTAACGTCAACCAAGGGGAAGTCGATATGCGGGGGACTGACGTCAACCAAGGGGAAACCCACCAAGGGGTAAGGGGCTGACATCGACCTTCACGAAGTCGACCTATTAGAATTTTGTTAGTGAACTTAACTACATTAACGTGTTAATCTGACGAGTTTACTCAATTAACACTAAAAACCCGAGTTTATGCACTTAGAAATGTCAAATACAATATAATATACTTTTTACTCGAGCTTGCATGTGTTGGCTTAATTTATGTTTAAAGAACAGTAGATCGAGAGAGAACTATGATCTCTAATTTGAGTTATGCCCGAATATAGACGATAAGCGAGCATGTTGGCGTAACAAATTGTCATAATTCTCAAAATATTTTAGATGCATGAATAAATTATGAGTATTTATCACGCCAACGTGCTCCGGCCGTAGTAAGGGCATTGGCCTGTTCCATATGCTTTCTCGAATAAGCAAGTCACATCACCAAGACACTATTTATTTGGTCGTTACTCTTCGGCATGGGCATCACTATTTCCCCTCCCGTTCAATTATTTTGTGACAATGTCTCTGCATCCTATGCCGCTGTGAATCCTATTCAAAATGATCGCAACAAGCACATCAAGATAGATTATCACTTTGTTCGTGAACGTTTGACTCATGGGGATCTGGTCATCAAATATATTCCCACTTGGTCCGTATATATCAGTTAGCTAACATTGTTACTAAAAAGTTATCTAGTCAGCTTTGAGTTTTTACGTTTCAATCTGCACGTGATTTCCCTGCACAGATGGTGGGGGTGTAATAGTATATTATAATGGCTTATGCGTAAATATTCCTAAAATTTATTATTATAAATACACAGAAAAGATTAGGTCCCTCCGGAGGGACGGGAGGGACCGTCCGAACTTTACTGTTTGGGGCGGTTCCCGTTGGAATTTTTTGATGCAATTTTTTGAGCATGTTCCTCATCAAGTGTAGTTTGTCCATACATAATTTCAGCTCAAAATTCGACCAGGAAGAAAGTCAAATAAATTCTTGAAACTTACTGCACTTTATATATGCGCAAAATGTGCAGTAAGCTTCAAGAATTTATTTGACTGTCTTCCCGGTCGAATTTTGAGCTGAAATGTGGTATGGACAAACTAGACTTGATGAAGAACATGCTCAAAAAATTTCATCGAAAAATTCCACCGGGAACCACCCCAAACAGTAAAGTTCGGACGGTCCCTCCCGTCCCTCCGGAGGGACATGAGCAGTCCTCTATAAATACAATACTAGCTAGGCTCCCTGATGGGTAAACCATGAATTCTTTCGAACAATTATTATTCTCTAATCTCTCACATAGATCCCTAATACAATTGCAACATTGTGTTTTTTGCACTATTCACAGACCTTACTTTAACCACAATTTTCTACTAATATACATAATAATCAAATTATTACGTATAAGATGTTATTGAATTCTGAATTTCCAAAATATCAAATGTTTACTAATACATAATTAAATATAATTACAGACAAAGTTGTGCATTGACAAACATAAAAATTAAACTGTTTGCAAGAATTAAAAAACGGGAGAGGATAGTATATAATTGCCGAGTGAGGTGATTCTGTTACACATATAGAATGATAGAATCCTACAAGGAATGGATTAGCTACGGTTGGTACCATATCACACATAAGAAGAACCCCGGAAGCTAAAGACATGCAGTGTGTGTGTAAGTTTGGTAGGAGATCGAAGTCAACAAGTGAAATGAATTTAATTTGTTGACTTTTACCAATTTCTCCGTACTATAAGTAATTAAGAAGCAAGAAGCCGTAGAGAACTGACTCAATAATAGTGTTGGCAAAGATGAGCCTGAGATTGATCTCTTGATCAGTTAGAGAAGAGAGGCCGTCTCTTGCACAAATACTTCATTTATGTGACTTCCATTAATCAACGAGTAATGTTTATTTGTGACTTGATTGAGCACACTACTTATTTTCAGCACAAAATTGCCTTGATTAATAAGTCGTGATAGATTACTTCTTCTCGATCAATTAGTCCGATATATGTTTATTTGACCACAATTTTAAACACATTATTGAATAAATGTATATTGATAAGTGACATTACTACTCATTAATAAAATAACTTTAAATTGATTATTTTAATCAACTATGACTGTTTATTTAATTACCCGACAAAATAAACAATTTCATGACAGAGATTCCGTTTTTAGATCGGGACACACATTCTAATACTCTCTCCGTTCCAATACAAAAGGTTCTCTTTGAATGACACACAAACAAACATCTGACTAGTTATACTCACATTTAGTAGAAAAAGAATCAAATAAGCCCTTTGTGTTTCACAACTAGCTGTTCACTTTGTTTATCTTCGTTGTAATTGATTATCAATTTCATATGTTTATTTTTTTACATTTGGTTTTGGAAGTTTTTTTACAGTATTTTGAAAATTAAAATTTAAAATAATTTAAAACAACTGTTTTAAATAATTTACAACAAGTTACAAGTTTTACAGTTGATGATACATAAAAATGATACCGGAGTACGAACAGTGGTACTTTTTTAAAATAATTTAAAACATAGTTGGGATGAGAAGAGAAGAGAAATAATCCTAACTTTATAGTTTCTATAAATAAATTCTTATAGTTTCTAAAGTGGATGAGAAGAGAAATAGCAGGTAATCCCTATAAATAATCCTAACTTTAATCTTTAAACTTAATTTCTATTCAAAATTCACCTGTTATAGTAGATAATATCCGGTCATGGACCATTATTGGCGGATGGTCTATATAGTTGAAATTATACAAAATTAATCAATAGTTGGGATTATTGTTAGCGGACCGGCAATAGTTGAGATTATTATTTTGAATTTTTCCAATAGAAAATTGGAGAATGAAAAAATTGGAAAACTAAAACAGAGAATTCGAGAATGAAAAACAGAAGAACAAAAAATTGAAAAATATCTCTACTAGTAAACGGGCCCTAATACAATATTTCCAATTTTCACGCTCACTTTGAATATGTTTGAAATGACAAAGTGAAAAAGTTTGGGTGTAAAAGATGAGTGAGAAAAAAAAGGAAAAACCGAATATATTTATATCATTAGGATTCAGATCGTTTAACAAACTCAAAGAAACCAACACTGACAACAACTATATGTAACCAACAAGCACTATCAACCCTACATGTAGACTTAGGGTAATACGAATCGCTAACTACCAAACGAGTGTGACACATCAATTACTAACCATATAGTCCTAAAACTACATATATCTAGCAACATTTTTGTTGTACACCTAAAACTAAAGACATTAACAAAAAACAAAGCAACATAAACAAACTTAACGCGAAAGTAAGACCATAAAAAACAAAATAATTGACTAATACTCCAAGCTCCTTCATGTCAGTATTCTTGAAATATCGCCTTCCAAACACTAGGACCTTGGTCGTTCCAGGGCGGCGATTCAAAAGGGGGATGGATCGCTGGTTTGTCTTCTCCCTTGCTCAAAACTCAATCCAGAAATTGCTAGACGATTTTCCAATTGAATGTATCAATCACAGACCTCCAGATTCCATCCATATCAACACATCCAGAAACATCAACTATAGAGTAGCAGATGATGGAGAGGTAGAGCGTGGTAACAATCGGCCTCCCACTATCGGGCTGCAAATCACTTGCCGGACAAGAAACGACGCAAATCGCCTGCCGAAAAGACAAGCCCTAGATGAAAGCTAGAGAGAATACCACTTCTACCTGTTCTACACTGCTCTGAGCATCGACACAGATTTGCCAGAATAGTGAAGAACATAGCCAATGCTAAGTTATCGGGTTGCGAAACGGTGCAAGTCTCAATTGCATTGAAAAAGCCAAGGGATTGAGGTGGCGACGACCGTTCCTTTTAATTGGGAATACACATTTAATTGGATCATGCTATTGTTTTCAGAATTATTTATATTTAATATAGATGAGTGAGATAAACTAAATTACTTGTTATAATTTCCTGGTAAAACAATTTGAAAACAAAATATAAATGAAAATTATTTATGAAAAATATACACAGGGACGGTGAGCGTATAGGTTTTGCCTAAAAAGGGAACTTTCCTAGTTCGATAGACCATTCCGTCATCTGAGCTCTCATAAAACGTACAAAATAAATTGGAAGGGTCAAGTGTACATGTACCCAATTTTTTTTAGGAAAAATTGATAGTAATAATCCGAAGAAATAATTGCCACAATATCACTAATTAACTTTTCAATTCTAAAATTATGACTTAGTTTTCTTTTTCCTAAAATATGAGTTGGATAACCCAGCTCTCCTCCCCTAATTTCCAAATTCACAATTCGTAGCCCTCCTTCATCCATCGCAAACTCCCCATCTCCACGCCTCGCAAACTTCATCCATCGCACCTTCGAATTCTCCATCACTCCTCGACCGCAAGCAGCATCCACCAACAACGAAGATCGAGGCGTCATCCGCCATGGCCGCCACCGCTGGTTAAGACTTCCTCGAAGGCCGCCGCCGCCGGTTCAGGCTTCCTTGATGGTCGCCGCCGCCGGTTCAGGCTTCCTTGATGGTCGCCACCGCCGATTCAGGCTTCCTCGATGACCGCCGCCACTGGTTCAGTCATCATCGATGGTCATCTCCACTGCTAGATTCGCCGTCCTCAATATATAGATCTGCGGCGTCGGCTAGGGTTACAAGAGGCGGCGGCAGTTTCGTGGCCGCGACGGACTCGCGATTGTGTGGGAGCAGGGGTGTTTGCGACGACTAGGGGTGGGGGTCGCGATTGTGCAAGATCTGGTCGGGGTTGGGGGTTGTTATGAGGGGTGGGGATGCGGACTGGGGGCTGGGTGATGCAGGGAAGGGGGTTGGGGTTGGTGTATGTGAGGGGCTGGGATAACAGTCAGCGATGGCGGCAGGCAATGGTGGGAGGTGGTGGTTTCCAGCGGTGATGGAGTTGGGCGAGCAGTCACTATGGCCCGCCGACATGCAGTCAATGTGGTAGGTGGGCAGGCAATCACTGTGGCCGGTGGATGGCAGTCATTGTGGCCGGTGGATAGCAGTCATTGTGGCCGGAATCGGTGTCAGTGTGTCACTATGGCCGCAGTCACTGTGGCGGCGAAGTCACTGTGGCGGTAGTCACTGTGGCGGTAGTCACTGTGGCCGGAGTCACTTTGACCGGAGTAACTGTGGCGTCGGAGTCACTGTGGCGACGGAGTCACTGTGGCCGGAGTCACGGCGGCGGCGGGGTTGGTGGCGGCGGCGGTGATGGTGGTGGTGCTGGGTTGGCGGCCAGAAAGGTGCTGGTAGTAAATGGAATAAAAGGAATATTGAAATAATAAAAAGAATATTGAAATAATAAATGTATATTAAATAAAAGGAATAAATGACTTTTAGTCACATTTTTAGAAAAATTTAAAACAAGTCACTTTTTTATCATTTTCCTTCATTATAGTAATATTGGAATAAAAAGGCCTAATCCGAATTATTGGCGGTCCGCTCATAATAATCTCAATTATAAATTATTTCAGAATAATCCCAATTTTAGGGACCTTCCGCCAATAATGGTCCCTATAAATAAATTGTCGTAGTTTTTAAAGTGGATGAGAAGAGATATAGCAAGTAATCCCTATAAATAATCCCAACTGTTAATTTTTATGCTGAATTTATATTTAAAATTAACTTGTTATAGGAGGTAATATCTAATTATGGACCATTATTGGCGGATGGTCCATATAGTTGGGATTATACAAAAATAATCAATAGTTGGGATTATTGTCAGCAGACCGACAATAGTTGGGATTATTATTTTGAATTTTTCCTTTTTTTTATCGGTGCTATTAATCGCGAATCGGCAAGAATTTTAAAGAGTTATTCTTGATGTACCCTATTTTGGATATCCCATTTCTACATCACATTTTGTGTGGTTCATAAAAGCCCATTTTTAAAACTCATTGCCCCATTTTTATTAATTGCATTTGTGAATCACAAAAGTATGAGGTACAAAATGAGGTACCTATTGTTCAATTTTAAAAGGTTCTTTTACTCTTTTCTCTAATACATGAAAGTCAATGATGGTTGACTTTTTGTCACAATAACAATCCTGCATGGCTCTATATTATAGTAAGGCGATTCTACAAGGCACTGCAAAGAAAATAACAAGGAGATTACCACTCTTTTTATTCATTATTTATTGAATTGTTATTAATATTATTAGTATGGCGTGATGAAGTTTTTTTATTAATATTAGTAATATTTTTAGTATTTATGATTTAAGCTATATTATTCCCGTTATATATGCTAACTCTATAGATAAAAACTACTACCTCCGTTCTTAGTGAATTTTACACTATTCATATGCTCAACTTTGATCTGATTTTATTTATTGATATTTTATAAATTAAATGTTTGAAAATTATTGTTTAATTGCACTCAATTTAAATTTTCAAGACTGAACTTTTAATTTTTTTTTTTCTAATAAGAAACGATACATATTAATATTTAAACATGAGATAAACTTGATGAAATAATTAAACTGGATATTAATGAATACTACGTATTAACCTTATCACTCTGACAATCATAAAAAAAATTAAAGAAAGAGGTAAAATGAGATGATAAATTAAACTAATAAAATACGTACATAGTACTTCGTATAAAACAAAGACCATACAAAAAGTTACTCACAGTGGCCGTTCCATCTTTTTTTTTTGAGAGGAAAAAAAATAAAAAATAAAAATAAAAAAATAATATTGGAGAATGTAGAAATTAAATGGGCTGTTTCACATCTGTTGGTGACCTCGAATTACATTGACTATTTTGACCATCATATATTATTAGTAGTTGGAATTTTATGGCATAATTTTTTTATAAATTTAATTCATACAAAGCCAAATAAATTGGGAGTATCTGGTCATATTCGCTACTCGACCCTTGACCAAGGTATCACTGAATATCGACTTAACTATTTAGAATATGTTTGATAACATTAAAATTAGTTGAATCAGTTGATTGTATTGAAATTTATGAAATTCTGATTGAGTTTGCTGATTTTTCTAAATTATGAAACAAAGAAAAATAAATTGCGAGTATTTTGTCGTATTCGCTACTCGGCCGTTGATAGAGGTACCACCGAATAGCGATTTAACTATTTAGAATCCACTTGGTAACATTTAAATTCGCTGAATCGGTTGACTCTGTTGATATTTATGAAGTTCTAGCTGAATTGGCTGATTCTGCTGAATTATGAAAAAACTATATTTAAAATATATATTATCAATACAAATATATATGAAAAATAGAGAAGACGGTCCTTTATACTCCGTAGTAAATTTAACCAATGTAGTTATGTGTTTGGTGAAAAAGTTATCGGAAATAATAAGACAAAAAACATAGTGGACTCTTAGCTCTTGTTACTTGCATTTCTTTCTATTTTCTAACTTCTATTCAGAATTTGATGTGAAAAAACAAATGTAAAATGGATTTGTAAAATTTGAATGTAAAATGAAACTTTATTTGTCAAAACATAGAATAATCAATTTTTTCTGATTTATTTTTTAACTAACATCAAAATGTTAATATCAATTTTGTACTACGTAACAAAGAGTGCTCTTCTCATCAGGCCGGCCTGACGGGATGCTCCGTCCGGCCGAGCCCATTTGGGCACCTTCCCGGTGGAATTTTTTGATGAAATTTTTTGAGCATGTTCCTCATCAAGTCTAGTTTGTCCATACCAAATTTCAGCTCAAAATTCGATCGGGAAGGTTGTCAAATGATTTTTGTAACTTAACTGGTCTGGAATATGTATTTTCCGGACCAGTTAACTTGCAAAAATCATTTGACGACCTTCCCGATCGAATTTTGAGCTGAAATTTGGTATGGACAAACTAGACTTGATGAGGAACATGCTCAAAAAATTTTATCAAAAAATTCCACCGGGAAGGTGCCCAAACGGGCTCGGCCGGACGGGGCAGCCCGTCAGGCCGGCCTGACATGAAGTTTCATCACGTAACAAATAACATCTTTTTTTTTTTAATTTATAACCTTGATGGGAAATGGGAATATATAGCCTCAATTTAGCCAAAGCAAGTAAAACGTCAAGACCTCCCTCCAGTGGCTGAACAATGAAAACGCCAAAACAACTCAGAATCTCCTCTCTCTTCCGCCGTCTCTGCAGCTTCGAAATTTGAATTTATTCATCCGATTCTCATTTCACCTCTCCTCTCTCTCTCCCTGCAAACTCTTCTTACCGGTCGAGGAGAGATTACACTTGCGGAACATATACAGACGCTTACTCTATCAGTCCATCCTCCTTTTTGTACGTATATATCCGTTAATTTTATAAATTTTCGACTTTCACTTGATTTGAGTTTCCGAAATCAAGTGCAGTGATTCACTTCGGGCCTTCCATTGCCCGGCATCGGACTCTCAGATCGCATTCATTCACAGTAATTTCTTCGCTCTTTCTGCATTCCGATTTTCTTAGTAATGATTGCTTAGCTGTATGGATACACCGAGCAGAACGCAAACCTTTTGTTCTTGTATCTGTTTATGATTATCTTAAAAAATTGAGGTGTTTGCGTATATGATTTCTCTGTAATGTTTGGATTATATCGCTCTTGTTACTCGTTTGAAATTTGAACGTCCATTTCGACATTTCGTTTGATGCTCCTCCTGTAGTGCTTATGCTCTGTTCCGGATTATGTGTGTGTTTGAAATTATCATAAATCATAATTCACTGCAATACAAGTGAGTGGAACTAACATTTCCTTGAAAAATACATACTTTTGGTCAAACCTCTACATTAGCGAAATATCATGTTCAAAAGCTTCTGGGCTCCCTGCTCTTCATTATGGTTAATCATTTCTTCATTCTTTTCTGTGTCATGTTTTGCTTTTAAAATAAGAAAGAGCAGCTTAACAGTGACAAAGAAATTTGCAGGGTAAGCTCAGGAAGGGTAGGGCAGTCTTTTGGATCTTAATTATGGATTGAGCTTTGGCATTAATGTATTTTGAATACGGAGCCAGTACAAAGTTGATCGATTTTATTTAAATTGTCTATACTCTATAGTCCATCCTAGTTATTAAATTAGTGTTGCTGAAGTCAATGCTCAAAGACTGAAATGTATAATCTTATGACTTTTTATTTTATCCGTTTAATCTTCTTTTAATTTGTTTAACAAATTTCCCTAGAAAACTAGCAAGCAGAACATGGATTTAGGCGGTAAATCCATAATTATATCAGACCCTCTGCTAATTGGTTTTGATATCCTACTATTTATTGTACTTCGTATTTCATTACTTGGTTTGGGATGCGTGGAGTTCTCATTAGTTAGGATCTTCAAGTAATTATTGTGGGAAAGGAAGGGGTATCACATTCAAGCTTCTTTACATAGTTCACATGATGTGACCATATTTCTTTGCTAATGGGTTCTTACATAGACTGAAAAGGTGGTCTGGTGTATGCTCTGCTCCGATCATTCTTTAAGCAATGCATCACTTTTTGTTTAATATTTTTAAATCCATATTTCCTTGTTCTGAAACTCATTTCAAATGTGTTTTAATTTTTAGTTAGTTATTCTTTTTTGCAAATTTAAAAATAATTCTAATTAAAATGCTGAAAGTCTGGAACTGGGCATTCAGCCTATAGTTGTGGAGTCATCATCACTTATCAGATATCATTTTTTAGCGTTAGATTACTCCCTTGTGCTCCATGAAACTAAGCGTCACTCATCTATAACTTCCCTTGTACGTTTGGATCTCATCACTAATCATGTTGTGCAGGTTGGTTTAAGTTGTCCATGGTGTAAAGATGAAGAAGTTGTTCTTTTTCAGATCTTCTGCACTTGATGGAGTGAACAATACCCAAATATCACAACAAGCAAAAGAAAAAAACGTTGATCGGGAAAATACAAGTATACTTGACAAAACTAGAAGTAAAAAGAAAGTCATAGAAACTCATTCTTCCAATGATAAACCAACTCTTAGGAGGAGCTTGTCATTTTCTTCTGGATCCCTTTATGATGGTTGGGCGGGACAAACAAATTGTCAGGATGAAAGCCGGTCTCCGTGTGGCGGTAATAATGGGCAGCCTAAAAAATCAAACCGTAACTCTTCTCGGTAAGCAGTACATTTTTTTCTAGCTTGCAACTAGATAGAATTCCATCCATCCCAAATATGCCATTCAGAAAATTTTGTACAAATTAATAAATCACATAACAAACATATCTGCACTTATACTTTCTTTTGCTTCTTTTCTCTCTAAAATTTTGTGTATTTGTCATTATATCTAAAATACTCCGTATGAAATATTGAAATACTTTGCATTCTGAGTGACTAATATAATAAATGTTTTCGCTTCAAAAACTCATATTGGAAATTTGCCTTTGCTGATTATTTATTTTAAGAAGATTATATAGGGGCATTTGAGGAAGAAAACTGGAAACAATATCTTGAATCCCCAAAAATGACAGTTATTTTGGGCTAAAATAACAAATAATTTAGGATGGAAGAACTATTATTTTATTTAATTACAAGGTGTCAAGGGTTAATCATGTTTCTTATTTGTGTCAATAGTCGTGCACTTACACCTGAAAGGCTATCACATGCAAAATTCTCTGGGATTGATGGTGTTGAAAATTCTCACAAAGTGGGGAATGGAGTGAATGGTTTTAGTTCTACTTTTCAACCACGCCTTGGTTCACATGATAGCTCTTCTAACTGCTCCAGTAACGTTTCAAGCAAAGTTTTAGATCGTTATATTGATGGTGAGCAACAGGGTGTGCAAGTGCCAGCAAGACCTCAGAACAAAACACTAGCTTCACAACTCGATGTTAAGAAACAGAAACCAAAGACTCAATCTTTGGTAGAAACCAGAGGGTCTCAACTTCAAGAATTGATGGAGAATAGTTTTCGGAATGAATCTCCCAGAAAAGTGGCAAAGAGAGTGGTGGAGAGACTTTCTCAAACCAGACTCTTGCCACCGAAAAGTAAAAAAGAATATGATGCTGATACTCCAATCACGATTGAAGATATCTACAGTGGGAATGCAACTGCATTTTCGGGTTCATATCTTGATGGTACTTCTCATAAAGACTATTTGATGGATGTGTTAAATGAGGTAACCAGTGAGAACAATGAAAAAATTCCAAGCCTCCAAGAGAGGAAAATTTTCTCTGGTTACAAATTTAATGCCAAGGATTCTGATATTGATTTGATTAGGAAGTACAAGGATTCTGAGGAACGGGTAGTGGTGCTCTCTGAAGACTTTGAAGAACAGACCTTTTTCCAGAGTAGAGGATTCAATGTTCCTACATTGATCCAAAAAATTAGAAGCTTGACAGAGGAAAAACTCCAAATAGCCCGTGAGGTTTCATCTGCATTGCAATGCCATATCACTGAGAGGGCTTCTTCTAGGGAAGAAATGAGACTATTAAGAACTGAATTAGATTCACAGAAGCAAAGATTGGAAGATGAGAAGAATGAATTGCAGTATTCGCTGGAAAAAGAACTTGACAGAAGAACAAGTGAATGGTCACTCAAGCTTGAAAGGTATCATGCAGAAGAACATAGGCTTCGTGATAGGGTTAGAGAGCTTGCTGAGCAAAATGTTTCCCTTCAAAGGGAAGTCTCTTCATTCAGTGAGAAAGAGGTGGACAATAAAAGCAGGATTTCCTATTTAGAAAATCAGCTTAATGAACTTATAGGAAGATTAGAGGAACAGAGTGGGGAGAATCAAAATCTGCAGAAAAGTCTCTCTGAACTTAAAGAGAAGTACAGAATAGTACAGGAAGATCAAGATTGCCTCCGAAGGAACTGTGAAGAGAAGGTCAAAGAGTGTAAGGACTTGCACCGATCAATAACAAGATTACAGAGGACCTGTAGTGAACAAGAAAAGACAATTGATGGTTTAAGACTCTTCTGTGAGGAGATAAACAAGAAACGATCAGCGGAAGAGTTTGATAACCAATTGATTAAGGCACGTGTGGAGCATATTAGGTTGGTGGGTAACGAGTGTGCTCTAAGGAGGGAAGTGGAATCTTACAGGCATGAAGTTGATCATCTCCGTCATGAAAACATAAACTTGTTGAATCGCTTAAAAGGGGGAGGTCAGGATGCTACATTTAGGCTAGATCAGGAACTACTGAACCGTGTTAACTGTTTGCAAACTCAAGGGATATTGTTGGTTAAAGAAAGCACACTTGTTTGCGAGAAGTTGCTGGAGTATACAAAATGTACTGTAGATGGAGGGTCACAGGGGCAGTTTGTTATCGAGACTGATATAAAGCTCCAAGGCTTCAAGAGGGGGCTAGAAAATCTATCAAGGAGCTTACAAAACGTCTCTTTTGTACTGAATGAGAAGTCTAAATTTCAGACTTGTGGTTTGGAGAACAAGACACATCAATCAGATGACCACCAGAAATTTGAAGTAAGTCTGTAGGTGTGCTTTTGTGTTTGTTTACAAGTAGTTCTCTTGCGTATATGCGCGTGCGTTTAAAAAACAAAACACTTATGGTAATATTTGCAACCAAATAATGCAGTTGGGACTGAAATCAGAGACATTGCTGACAAGTTTGTTGCGTGAGAAGCTTTATAACCAAGAGTTGGATATGGAGCAACTTCATGCTGAGCTGGCAACTGCTGTCAGAGGTAATGACATGCTCAAATGTGAACTGCAAAATGCGCGAGATAACCTTTCATGTGCAACTCTCAAGACCAAAAATCTAGAACTTCAGGTAAGTCATCAACAATATACGCTGTAGTATGATAAGTTGGTATTTCATTATCTTTAAATTTAACTTTGCACCCCATCTAAAGTGCAATAATGTCAAATAAGATAAAACATGTGGTGCAACCTGCAAAGTCAAATGTTGCAACTATGGGGGTGCAAAACCAGGTTTTTCCTTTATAAAATATTAATGAACCTGTTAGGCAAATTGAAAGGTGAGAAGAAGAGGCAGAGAAGAGAGGGAAGAGTGGTCAGTAATGATATTGACATATTGACATTTCTTGAGTTAGATGAGAGTATACATGTGGAGGATTTATCTGTTTTTCTTTATCTCGCTTTTCTCTATTTATCATTTTTAACTCCGGTTTCATATGTTGATTCATTTTGGCCAACCCCAAACTCTTTGGGACTAAGACTTGGATGTAGTAGTTGTTGTATGTTTTTGTATTTTTCATTCTTTCCCGTCTCATTTCTCAATCAAAGTAGTTACTTGAGGGCATTAAATTGCAAGATCCTAGGGACATATAATGAGTTTCTAAGCATGTGTTGTTGTACTCTACAGGTAATCAAGAAAGATGAGAATATAAAAAAGCTTGAGAATGATCTTGATGAATGTATAAAGGAGTTAACGGCCGTGAAGGGGATACTTCCAAAAGTGACCCATGAAAGAGACATGTTGTGGGAAGATGTTAAGCAGTACAGCGAAAACAATATGTTGCTCAACTCTGAGAACAATGTGCTAAAGAAAAGAATTGAAACACTAGATGAAGAGGTACTCGTTAAAGAAGGTCAAATTTCAATTCTTAAAGACGCCTTGGATAAACCAATTGATCTTCTTTCAAGTCCAAGGGAATTCCTAGTTTGAAATTATGCTTACAGAGTTACAGGATATAGGAGGAGCTGTTATATGCCTCGTGTTCATAATTATTGAGCAACTTGCTCTATTTTTATAGGTTAATTCATATATGGTTTGATTTACCTTGTTGTCTGAGATGGTTGTATAGGATTGAATACAAATACAACATATCTGGCTTGCTTTTGCCACTCTCAAGACAGCAATAATGTTTTGAAGAACTGAGAAGTTTTTTTTTGTTTTTTTTTTTTAATTTTATAACCCCCTTATACTTTCTGATTGTATGTAATTTGAGCCTGAGGAAATAAAAACAAAAGTTTATCTTCTTCCTAGCTTTTCCCTCACTGTAATTTCGAAAGAAATCTTTGGGCAATATATCTCGTATGCAGCGGAAGTTTAATAAAGAGAATGCTCGGCTATGCTCTGTCCGATTGAAGTCATTCAACAGTTTGATTGTGAGAATATGTGTTGTTAAAATAGTGATTGAATAGAAAAGAATGTGTACATGGTTCATGAATAGTGGTGGACCCGGTTCGGGCCACCCGGCCCGGCGGTCCGGGACCGGGTGGTGACCCGAACTGGTGGGCTAGCAGGTGGCGGGCACGGGTAGGGCAAATGGGAACCTGGCTCGGCCGGGCCCGGTTCGGACCCAATTCCATTTTTTTTTGTTGTTTTCTCATTATTTTTGGGTTTCCACCGGATTGGACGGGGTGTTTTGGTGGGGGGGGGGGGGGTCAGGGGTAGTTAGGAAAGCAAAAAAAAATTACATTCAACCTGGTCCGGACCTAGACCGGACCCGGTGGATACCCGAGCCGGTCCCGGGTCTACCCATTAAAACTCAAAGGCCCACCGGGCCTAAGCCTAGCCCGGGCCCGACCTGGCCCATGTGCATACCTGTTTTTGAAGTATTTGCCCATTTGGTAATCATGATTTGCCTTTTAATAGATTCTAATAATAATTTTAATTTAATACACATACATAGTATTGATGTATTATTAAGAATTTAAGACTACTTTTTCTTTCAAAAAAAAAGATTACTTTAAAAAATGGAGAACCCTAAAATATTGGAAGCATTTGTCTAGGTCAACTCTCCCAAAAGCCGGCCCTACATAGTACATATAACACGTAATTATAATGTCTAATTTGATCATTATCCCTTTTCATGAAGATCACAAACTCTCATTTCATAATAGTACAATTAAAGAAATTTTATAATCATTGTATATACTATGATAAAACTATATCTGTTAATCTGTACACAAATTAAATTTGCCTCATTTTACGCTTTTCAGCCCATTTGGACGTGCCAAACGGCCTCTAATTTCCAATCTATGAAAAGTGAAATATCAAATACAGAAATGAGAACTCTTTAGACAGCAGGTGATGAGGTTATTATTACTAGTACGGAGTATTACTTATTACTATTATTAATAATACACCAAATTTAACACAAAATATGACTTAGAGGCAGACACATTGAAACAACAAAGAGGGCCTTAGAAAAAAAGAAGCCTATTTCCAGAAATCATCAGGCTTGCGGTGCTACAAAACAAAGAAACTTCAAGTGAGACGATAGGATTAACATAGATATAATTATAAAAAAAGAACATATGTCTAACCCATACCCTCTATCCCATAATGAGATCAATGCCACTATAATATACTTCCCGGAGAAAAGTGGTACTATGTCCGTCCCACTTATATTGGGACGGAAGGGGACACGTTTATTAAGAAAAGTGAGTTTATGTGATTGATATTAATTGATAAAGTAAGAATAAAGTAAGAATGATTTAGAGTCACAGAAACTTTACCAAATTTGGTATGAGACAATTTTAGTGGTATTTCTCGAAAAGGTAAAATGAGACAATATTAGCGGGACGGAGGGAGTATAGAATTGGAGAAAATACATATGAGGAAAAAGGGAATGTAAAATGATAAATTGCAACAGTAGCTAGTTGATCTAATATAGTATTATACTTCGTACTATTATATTATGAACACAACTTGATTTTTGTTCTTACACCTAAAAATCACAAGGCAAACTGAAAGCTACAGTTACTCACTGGGTCCTAATTAATTACTTAATTAGATTTCCTAATTGCCTTTTATACATGTTAAGCAAACATATGATATGCAAACATTTTAAAATTTAGACTCAAATATTAAGTTCCAATTATGGATGTACTTTGTACAAATAATAAAAATTGGTGTCAAATGGGCTTTCATGTCAAATCACTAAAAATTGAGTAACGTGGAAAGTTGTGGTGTTTTCAAAAAAGAAATGTCAACATATTTACCGAACACAAGAAAAATGAAAGAGGACTTATAAACATATTATTAAGATGAAGATAATCTCTAAAAATATTTAGCATCAAGGTCCAACTAGTACACATTGAAGTAGGAAAATCCTGGGGAATCTAAAAGGAGACAAATTGTGGGGGTTTGAGAAAGAGAGAACTGCACATGTTTGTGGGTCTAAGGTAAAGGAAATGAATCTCGTGTCATTGTTGACAGAGTAAAATAAAGATATATTTACCAGAGATAAAGGCATCCTTGTGCGAACCGCACCAATCATTGATAAGTCAATATCTGCAACACAGATTCCTGTTGAAGAACGATCTGGAAAAAACCAAAAACATAAACTCATAAAGTATGGCTTTACATGTTACCAAGAGAACAACTAATTAAACATGTCTTAGTCATTCCTTTCGGCAATAATCCTCGGTAAAATCATTTCTAGTATGCCATAAATGCAGTTCACATAGGGGTGTGCCCAAACATATCAAACAAAGGAAACCTGTGAGAGAGCACAGATCTCTAAGGGTCTGATAGGATAGAGGGTTAAGAGGTTTTGGAGGGGAAGGCTTTCGAGGGCTTAGACTTATGTTGATAAATAGAGTATTCCTTAAAAACGAATTAGAGGTGATTCTAATGTTATTTGATTACCTATTTTGTTATATATTCAGCCCTCCAAAACTTTCCCCTCCAAAAACCTGCAAAACCCCACAATCTATGCAGACCCTAAAAGAAAAATAAATTTAGCGTTTTGGAATGAGAAGCCAGTGCATTAACATGAACAGTCCTGACCTGGCAATCTCCCAATTATTGTTCCCCATGGATCTATTATTAAAGAGTCACCATAACTCTCTCTTTTTTCATTATGATTTCCTGCTTGAGCAGCAGCTATGACCTGATAAAACATTTACCGTTACTACCCACAAAATAAACGGGGTAAAAGAAGATTACAGATACAAGTAGTTAGAGAAAAAGAATGATGATATAATCTCATTTCGATCTCTGAAGGGAGAAAATAATAGAGCCATATATTTTCTACATGCTTCGATCTTTAGTATATATTCCGTATGAGTTTTACAACACTCCCTTCCTACAGAAAAGGAAACAACAAGAAACTTCATACATAGCATTGTGTCTCGATCGCCCGAGCACGGAGAAGAATTTCCCAGTGTGCCTGACCAGTTGCAGTTGTGAAAGCAGCAGGCACAAGTAAAACCTACAAATAGTATGTCATTGTTTGGGACTTGAGTGCCAAATAATAATATAAAACTAATCAAATAAATAAATGTTAACAAAAAAATGAATAAAAGAATCAAGGAATAAACATGTAAATGCACGATTGATTATAAAAATGCACGAGTATTTGACTTTTGATTGTATTTATATAAAATGAATAACCTGTGCATCATGGAGAAATCGTAGATGCTGATAGAGCTGAGGAAATCTCAAATCATAGCATACTGTCAGTCCTATTCGCCCAAAGGGGCTGTCGACCACAGCAATGTCCTTTCCTAAATGAATACATCAGTGAGGGATAAAAAGTGTCATATTCTGACCAAGAAAGGAACACATTCAACACTATACATCCATGAACATGTCACTTCAAAATAAAAAGGGCAGTTTAATGCACAAAGCATTCCGGCTGTTCAAGGGCCCAGGTAAGGCTTAAGCACCAAATTCCCTCTCAGCCACGGAAGCGAGTAGTTGTCTATCTTCATACCCCTTTCACTTTAAAATCATTCCACTTATTAATAAATTAAAATACTACTCATATCTCTCGAAGGAGTTTTTGGTTTTCTTGTTTGTAAGAGGTAGGTTTAACAGAAAGCTAGAGATTTTTACTTGCATGACTTAAAATACAATATCGCGTAGAGGAAAGCGAAACTCTCACCTGGTTCTGTGAAGCTACTTTCCTTGTAAACCGCACCTCCAGGAACATCCACATCAAACCTTCATCTCATGCAACAAAAAGCAATGCTCATGAGAAAATGTTATGCCAACAGGTTTTCATAACAATAACCATGCAAGGTCAAAAGTCTTACAAATGCATCTTGCTGTATGTACTTCTAATATTTCCAGCATCATCAATTAGTATGTGAGTATTACGCAAGTGTGCATCCTCACTCCCTTTTTCTTGGAATCCTCCAAGTGACAGCCAAATGCTCGACTCTCTTTATTGATAACAAACACATAAGAGCTCTAACTTTATCAAAAATAGTGTTCAAAACACTCAAACCTAGATATATGCAACGAGTTAAGTTTCAGATGGTTTTTGTTTCTGCTTATTGAAACTGATGATGCTTCTTCATGCAACAAAAGATGGGAGAATCAATTTTTTGTAGAATATTTGAAAAATGCTTCTTTTTGTAGATTATAAGACTGTCAAAGTAATTAATTTTAGAGAAAGCTCACCCCATGACAGTTATAAAAACTGATTCTGATAACTATTTGGTTTTAGCTGCCTTTTTCCTGAATCACATAAAATAGTAGTTCTGACAAAAACACTTTGATCTTACTCTTACTTACATATAATAAAATCAATGTCTAACACTTTTCAATTACATAATTAACCACACAGTACACATTCAAATATGCATTGATACCCACTCCCCCCACAACACAAAACTGATTCTGATTCTTAGTCTTTGAACTCCTTTAATTTTCAAACGGCATCATCTTGTTTAGTTAAGTCAACTAATCCGCAAACTACATGTGGACTAGTGATTAAATAATGGTTTGTATGGTTGTCCCAACAACAACATGACACAGTAGGTCCAAATGATAATTGATATATAGACAAAAGAGATTAAACCAAACATTCATCGCACAAAGTGGACAAATGAGATGTTTACTTTGATTTAATAAAGTAGCATTGTGGTAATTGGTAAATAGTACACAAATCAGTGTGCATCATTTCAATGTATAAAGTGAATTACATCCCCATATATATGTAGGAGTGCAATCTCGGGATGAAATGTACATTGACAGTAAAATGTAATGACATGTTGATGGCTAAGAGTTTGTGAAAGAGCTGAACGCTTACATGTAAAATTATACACATTTATCTCACAATGTGTTTCT